GGGAGAAATTGTGTAATGGCAGATTTAATTTTCATTATTATTATAATAATTGGCACTGAAGGGGTTAAAATATAAAACATGTGCTGGTAGGAGTATGGGAGCGACTGGTAAGTCTGGGGTATTCAGTAAGAAAAAGTTTGGGAACCTCTGCTCTTGATCATTGGAATGTATATACACAACCTTTGTTTCTTTTACAACCCTGGTTGTAAATGTGTCATGTGTGGGACGGAACCTTAATGTCTGCCTTATGCAAAGATTTGCGCAAAATGAGGAGATACCATTCTATACTTCAGAGGCAAAATCCCTTTACACCCTGCACAGGCTTAGCCATTGGGGGGAAGAATAAGCCTCATTGTATAGAGTGTGAAAACAAGCTGTTGAAAAATATAGATCTGAAGTACACTGACTGAATCCACATCTGGAGTAGACTCTCTCACTTAGCCCTCTTTGAGGTGGAAGCTTTAACACTTCTATCAAGGAAACAATCATCCCCTGGATATTAGAATGCAGGGTCTCTTCCTTTTTGTTTCTGGTGGTGATTTTGTATAGAGAGGGCATGATATCCGTGAACTACTATGCCTCTATCTGTCTGGAAGAGTAAGATATTAGGATAGTTCTTAATACCAATATTCCCAATCCTTATAGAGGTTCAGTCCAAGTACTTCAAGGTACTATAGAATCATTGGATTGAAGGAACCCTTTGGTCATCTAGTCCAATCCCTTGCATCAAGGCAGGGTTGAAGGAAGTAAGGAGAAAGAAAGCTCATATTTTAACTACCAAAGTGTCCTAATCAAAATTTTCAGTCTGTTAAGAGAGTCACCTGTATTTCAATCTGAATTTGGTACCTGGCCTCTGATTGGGCCAAAGCAAAACTGCAAATCTGAAAATACTGGTGTTTTAAAAAGCTTTACGCCTCTTTTTGCTTATTGAATCTCATGGCTCAAGGTTCTTCATCCATCTGTAGCCACGTGCCTTTTGAAAATGTTATGCTTATTGTTTTGTATAATGACTAAGGCCGCGTCCAGACAAGCGTGGCGGTAAGGTATGTGGCACCGCAGACCGGTCTGTGATGCAGCATACTGCACATTCAGGCATTCCCTATGCTGTTACTTTGCAGTGCTGGGGGGTTTTTTGAATCTGGGATGTCCTGGAGTTAAAAAAAAAACGGCAGGGAAAAAAAGCAGTATGGTGGCACGTGGCAGCAGAGCCGCTGACCAAAACCGGAGCCTGGACAGCTGGAGCCACGCTCTGGCTGCTGGCCAGGTTCCCAGCTGCAGGAGCGCCACAGCTGCAGTTTCCCTGGCTCCCAGGACCCCAGTTAAGGCTGCTGGGGCCAGCCTAGTTGCTGTCCCCAGCTTCCCCTACCCACCTGGGATAAGCTGCCATGTGCCAGAGCATGTGTGGTACATTTTTCCCTGGGAACAGGTAGCAGTGGCGCAAGGTGT